AGGCTTCATCAGAAGAGTGGAATACTCTGAATGGGTCTCCAACCCTGTGCTCGTCAAGAAGCCAAACGGCAAATGGAGAATGTGCATTGATTTCACCAATCTCAATGACGCATGTCCAAAAGACCCTCACCCGTTGCCAAACGTAGAGAAGTTAGTAGAACGGGCAGCAGGACATGAAAGGATGAGTTTTCTTGATGCAAGCTCGAGTTACCACCAGGTCCAATTGTTACTAGACGATCAGGAAAAAAACAGCTTTTTACGCTGGTGACGCAATATACTGCTATGTCATGATGCCGTTCGGCCTCAAAAATGCCAGAGCAACATACCAGAAGTTGGTGCAAATCATCTTTAAGCTCCAGATCGGCAGGAACATAGAAGTGTATGTAGACGACATGATAGTCACCAGCGTGCGAGTTGAGGATCACATTGGCGACCTGGATGAAACTTTTCGAAATTTGCACCGAGCACAAATGAAGCTGAATCCTTTGAAATGCACATTTGCTGTAGAGTCGGGAAAATTCCTAGGATATGTGGTATCCAAGAAAGGAATTGAGGTAAATCCAGAAAAGGTTGAGGCCGTTCAGCAGATGGAGCCACCAAGGACTGTCAAAGACGTGCAGCGTTTGACAGGCCGTGTTGCTGCGTTGCACAGGTTTATAGCCAGATCGGCGGAAAGGTGCCTTCCGTTTTTCAAAGCTCTGCGGGAGCCTAAGAACTTCCAGTGGACTGATGAATGTCAATAGGCATTTGACGAGCTCAAACGATATTTGGCATCCGCACCCCTGTTGTCCAAGCCCGTCGATGGAGAAAGTTTGTACCTTTATTTGGGGGTCACAGAAGAAGTAGTGAGTTCAGTACTACTGAGGGAAGAAAATAAACATCAGAAGCCTATCTGCTACGTGAGTAAGGTGTTACAAGGTGCCGAACAAAACTACCCGCTAGCAGAAAAGGCTACTTTTGCTTTAGTTTGTACGGCTTGTAAGCTGAGAGCTTATTTTCAGTCTCATCAGATTGTTGTTTATACTGATTTCCCGCTAAGGAAAATATTGCAGAAGCCAGAGCTCTCTGGTCGGCTCATCGGATGGAGTGTCGAACTAAGTGAGTATGACCTTAAATTTCAGCCGTGCACGACTATAAAAGGCCAAGCTGTGGCAGACTTCTTAGTTGAATGCGCCCCGGCGGCTGTCAAAGAAAAGGTACCTGAATACCCAGTTTGGGTTTTGTATGTAGATGGAGTTGCTAATGTCGAAGGATCAGGTGCTGGGGCTGTGTTAGTGGGCCCTGATGGCTCCAAGTCTGAGCACGCGCTAAGGTTTAAGTTTCAGACAACCAATAATGCTGCAGAATATGAAGCCCTAATATATGGACTGAAGCTGGCGGCCGAGCTGAAGGTACAAAGCATTCAGGTCTTCAGTGACTCTCAGCTTGTTGTTCTCCAGGTGAATGGCAGTTGCGACATTAGGGATCCTCAGCTCAGTCGTTATGCCCTTGTGGTCAACAGATGGAAGTCAAGGTTCGCTTCATTTCAGATCGACAAAATACCACGGGCAGATAACCACCGAGCTGACGAGCTGTCAAAGTTGGCCTCCTCGCAGGACATTAACCCTCAAAGATCAACAATCGTTGAGGTGCTCGACGCACCAAGCTACACTGATTCCACAGTCGACTGTCAACTACTCAGTACAGATCCCTCTACACCGAGCTGGACTACCCCACTCATAAATTATCTACAAAGTGGCAAGCTGCCTGAAGATTTGTCCGCTACGAAATTGATTAAATGAAGGGCATCACATTTCACTTTATTAGATAACCAGCTCTACAAACGAGCAACCTCAATGCCCCTATTATGCTGCCTTACTCCTTACGAAGCTGAATACGCTGTGAGAGAAGTTCACGAAGGAGTATGTGGCACGCACATCGGTGGCAAAACTTTAGCTCGAAAACTCCTGAGGCATGGTTATTACTGGCCCACTATGGTCGACGACGCACAGAACTATGTCAAAAAATGTCCGACCTGCGAGTTCAATGCTGATGATATACACATGCCAGGTACCTGAGCCTATTCTAAAGAGCATGCAAACTCCGTGTTTGTCTCTAAACTAAGCATAAGTATCTCTCTTGCAACAGGGGAAATGCTATCATCTCTCGCGTCTCCCTGGCCCTTCGCTCAATGAGGTGTCGACCTGCTCGGCCCTTTTATCAAAGGCAAAGGAGGCTGTACTTTCCTGGTCGTTGCAGTGGATTACTTCACTAAGTGGATAGAAGCTAAACCACTGTCCACGACAACAGAAAGAAAAATAAAAGAATTCTTGTTCAATTCAGTGTTGTGCAGGTATTCTTTGGTGACCGAGGTCGTAAAATATATGCAAACGTGATTTGTAGCTCAGCTCGCTAATCTGTGTGCAGGTTCGGCATACCTAAGCGAATTATCGCCGACAATGGGCCACAGTTCCGAGCAGCAGCGCTAAGATCGTTTTGTGACGACTATGGCATCGAGCTCGCTCTGACGTCCGTGTATACTCCACAGTCCAACGGGCAAGCTGAGTCCGCCAATAAAATAGTCTTGCGAGGCCTCAAGACACGCGTTTTGGCTGCGCATTCTAATTGGGTTAACAAGCTCAATAAAGTACTTTGGTCTTGTCGCACCACACCCAGCTCGGCTACGGGCGAAACCCCTTTCAGCTTGGCCTATGGAGCTGAAGCCGTCATTCCAGTAGAGGTTGGATTGCCATCCGATCGAGCAGGCCGGCATGACGACCTCAACAATGAGCAGCTTTTGAGAGAAAACCTGGACTTCGTAGAAGAGGTCAGGGAGATGTCTAGAATAAGAACTGCGGCACATCAAAACCGTATTGCAAAATTTTACAATAAAAGAGTCCGAGCTCGCCAGTTTCAAGTTGGCGACCTGGTCCTACGTAAAGCTGGATTAACTAACACTCATTCGCACATGGGCAAGCTCGCTCCTAATTGGGAAGGCCCCTATATGGTTGTTCAAGTTAAACGACCTGGTTCTTACGTGTTAGCAGATATACAAGGGCGTCAGTTACCTTACATTTGGAACATACAGAATTTTAGAAAATTTTACAGTTAGCCTGTATACTATTCTTTTATTCAAGTCGTTATTCGACAGTTGTAAATAAGGGCATAACAGAAATACAACAAGAGTTCAAAGAAATATTCATTTTTGTATTTCATCAAAGATGTTTACATTGAACGTACATGCGATATGGATCCATTGATCAAATACAAAAATGCAAAAACAAGGTACAAAAATCAAAAGAAAAAACCCTAAATCTAGTCATCCGTCAGGTCGACGGGCATGGATGCATCAGCAGCGGCTGCAGGAGAGCGAGCAGGAGGAGATCGGGCTGCGGGCTCGGAGGCTGGCGCGCTGACCGGTGAGCTGACTGACACCCCAGCGGGCTGAGAGTTGGGCGGGGTGCTTGAAGGCTCCTGCTCAGCCACAGGAGCACCCTCTACCCAAGCGTCAAAGGAGGGCAGTCCTGCTGGATCCTCCCCGTCCTCCAGCACGGACGGTGGCCAGACGGGCACACCCTCCTCGTTTAAATCCCACCTCAGCCTCACAGTTGTGTCAGAGAGGGGAGCAAGGCTCTTACCCTGCTCGTCTAGCTCCTCCTCGTCAAAGAAGACTAGCTCGCGGATTGGAAAATCCGGGCGGTGTTGCAGTACTTTTCCACGGATCTCATTGTAGATTTCTGTGGTAACATTTGCCGACGCCACAGCCACGGCGTCCTGAAACGCAGCCGAGCCAACGAACCATTCCGCCCCTTGAGCCCGGGCGATGACGACAGAACGTGCATGGGAAGCCTTCAGCTCGTTCAGCGCCTCCCCGGCAGCAGCAAGGTTCTGGTCCGCCTCGACGACCTGGTGCCTAAGGGAGCTTAGCTCGTGCTGAGCACGATCCCTGTCGGCCTCGGCCTTCTTCGCCCGTTCCTCAACCCAGACTGCTTCTTCCTTGGCCGCCTGAATCCCGCTTTCCTTTTCAGCCCGCGCTCGATCCAACTCCTCCCGGAGCTCGTTATTCCTGGCAGCGAGCTCGTTTGCTCGGCTCTCCGCTGCAGCAGCTCGATTCGCCATCTTAGAGCCTTGCAGACGATTCACATCGTCCACAAGGCTAGCCTTCTCTGTGGCCAGCTGTTTGCACTTTGCTCCGAGCTCGGTGTTCTCTGTACGAGCCGCTTGCTCGCTCTCGTACAGTGCTACCGCGTAGCTGAATGCCTGCCAAACAGTTGTCACTGTTAGTCTCTAAAAAGAAAAAGCAAAATATTCAAGCAGCTACGAGCAGGTACTTACATCCATTAATTTGATCATGGCGACCTGACCGCCATGCTGTTGCACAAAGGCTTTGGCCCGCTTATTGTCAGAAGGGGGCACAAAGCTGTGCATGGCTTGCACCATGGCAGGTTGGCACTCTGCCCGCACATAGCTGAAGCCCTTAGGATAAGCAATCCTGGGGCCCATCGAGGCCGATGTAGAGGCGGGCTCCACTGCTGCCCGCACAGTCGCTGATGGTGTGGTGGGCAAACGCACCGTTGTAGGACGAGCCGCCTGTACGGGCTGAGTCCCCCCGCTTCTTATGCGCCTAGCAAGGGGGACCTCGTCCTCCTCGCTCTCTGTCTCCTCGCGTGCATGTCTGCGTGCACCCGAGGCCACAGCCTCGCTCTGTTATCTGCTCGCGGCCTTGACGACGAGCTGGACCCCCTGTGAGACGGGCCGCGGGATTGAGGCGCTGGGGGTGGCCGCTCGTCAAACCTTGTTTGACGGGGTTGCGCGCTGCCCGACGCGCGACCTCGTGAGCCTTGGGCTCGCTGTCGTTGGCGTTCCAAGATGCACAGAAAAACGCATAAGCCTCAGCCCGACTAGAATTAATACTATATGATAAAAATATACCTTCGCTGAACAGGTTTGTCACATCGACAAACCCTAAAACGATGAGAGCCTCCGAGGTAACCAGGGCTTCTAGATCTATTAGACCCTCCCCCTGCGCATACTCCAGTAGCTGGTTCTTCAGATCGACATCCCGATGCAGTAGCTGAGGATAGTTGATATGAGCGTTGGGGGTGCGCCACTCAGACAGCCGGGCAGCGAGGTCGTTGTTTATCCTTTCTGCTCGCGTGTCACGAACAAAAATAAACTGTCTCTTCCACCTCGCTACCTTGTTCCTCACATTTTTTAAGAGCTGGCTCTTATCCCTCCCTGAGAGGTAGTACCACTTCGCTCCTCGTGAGTTCGGACACAGCCGGCACTGAAACAGCGACCTGAACACGATTGCCTTGGCCGGCACCTCTAGTCGCTCACACAACAGCATAAAGCCAATAATGAACCTTATGCTGTTAGGTGTCAGCTACGTCAACGCCAGCTCGTATTCCGCCAGCAGGTCGAACACCAATCTGGGCAGGGGAAACCGCAGGCCGGCGTCAAAGTGGTCCACATACACTGGGATCCAACCAGTCTGTGACACCGTACAAGCCGTCTCATTGGGTGTGCCTATTCGTAACAGTATTGTCCGGGGAATATGATACGCCCTCACCATATCCTCCAATCTCCTGTACCCACTGATTGAGGGCGCGCAGTCTGCTACTTCATGATGAAGCGCAGCCCGAAACCTAAATCCGGCGGGCAGGTCCTTCGGCGCCTTTCGCAGGTTGTTCAACCTGCCCGTGATGGTCCTGCTTTCCCATTATTCCATCACAGGCCGATCCGAAACATGGCTCACTACATCCCCTGCCCCCTCCTCGCGGCCTGGTGTCCCCTTGGACGAGCTGCTCGATGGCGCACTAGGATGGTTGCCACCGTTGTCACTGGCGCTGGAACTCGTGCTGCTCTCAGACGCCATTGTTTCCGGCACATCCTGCAACTCCGGCGGCACTATCATCGTGATAGGCTCCACTGACAAAACCGCTCCCTCTTCTCCCTCTCTGCCCTGGTTACCTCGTTGCTCTGTGAGTTCTCTCAATGAAACCATTTTTACCTGAAACTGATGTGAAGTTGGTTCGATGTACTGATTCTTCAAGCTGGAGCGTTTTTGCTTCAGAGAATTTTGGAAAGTTTAACCAAACACAGAAATGAAAATGAAAGAGGAAACGGTTACGCAGAGAAGGATATCGTAGTGTTAATTGCCGTACGCATGTTTCTAACGCGCCAATTCGCGTCATACACGTGGCACACGCTTAACGTCCCTTCTGCATAACGTGCGCCGGCTTTAGCTGTCACGTCCCTCAAATGCTGAGCCAGCATTTATGACGGGGAAGACAAAGGGATACGGGGAGATCAACCGTATCTCCTCAGAGATCTGCTTCCGTATCTCCTCAGAGATCTGCTTGATTCAAAAATCCCAAGATTCAGATCGTCACTGCTGATGTGTGCCTTGTGCTGTCACATCAGCTCGCCATAGCGAGCACACTTGCCAGGTCGTTACAAACATGACATTTTGCCAGATCGGCTCAACTGTGACAATTCGTTCAACAGTGTAGAGTTTTTGCTAAAATCCCCCCCATGATTCAGCTCGTCACACATCGTGACGACAACCACATTCGTCA